GGCAGCACGGCGTCACTCGCCTCACCCTTGCCGGGGGCTAATGACTGTCCCGACACCAGGGGCAGGCCTAGTGAAGCACGCAGGGGAGCACAGCGTCACTCGCCTCACTCTTGCCGGGGGCTAACGATGGTCCCAATACCTGGGGCAGGCCCAGCAAAGCACTCAGGGCAGCACGGCGTCACTCGCCTCGCCCTTGCCAGGGGCTAATGACGGTCCCAACACCAGGGGCAGGCCCAGTGAAGCACGCAGGGCAGCACGGCGTCCCATGTCTAAATAGAGTAAAAGAGGCAGCTGGAGACAAAAAGGCATCCTTCACAAACTGGAAGTAAAACCCTACTGAGAAATACAGAAAGGAGTATAAACTCTTGTAAGTCAAGTGCAAAAGTAAAATCAGGCAGGCCAAAAAAAGAATCTGAAGAGCAACTAGTAAGAGACACAAAAACAAATAGCAAATAAATGTAAAGTACATAAAAAACAAGTCAACTGTTAAAACAACCAATATAGCCCCCTGCAAGACTGAGGTGCTAAAGGAGCTCTCAAGGAAGACAAGGGAAGCCAATGCAGAGAAGCTAAGTGAATTCTTAATATCAGGGTCTTATTGCAGGTGATTCCTCAATCTGAACTATTACACACACTGCAGAGTCCACAGTGAAGACCCCCCTGGGAATGAGGCCACCAGCCCCCACTAGCCTCACTCCTGGGGAGCCACAGCATGTAACTTGCAGTGGGAATGGCAGGAGGCTGGACACACCATGCACAGGGGCTGCTCTGGACGGCCCACAAGGCTGGAACAGCCCCCTGCCTAGGGCAGGTGGGGAGCTTATTCAACTCTTATTCATTAAACCCGCCCTTTAAGGGTGACACTTATTGGTTAACCAATTAAATGGTTAAACTTTTACATCTCTAATCAGGACCAGACAGTATTCACTCAAGAGTCATGTAGGAACATAAACATGAAATGGCAGAACTGCTAACTGAGGTATGAAACTTCCTGCTTAAATCAGTCTCTGTTCAGATGACTGGAAGAGAACTAATGTAACACCAATTTTTTGTAAAAGGCTCCAGAGGTAATCCTGGCAATTACAAGCCAGTAAAACTAACTGCAATGCCAGAAAAACTGGTGGAAACTACAGTGAAGAACAGAATTATCTGAAACATAGATTAATACAATTTGTTGGGGAAGATTTAAAGTGGCTCTTGTAAAAGGAAATCATGCATCTCTAATTAACCAGAATTCTTTGATGGGGTCAACAAACGTGGAAAAAAGTTATCCAGTAGACATAGCATACCTAGATCTTTGGAAAGTTTTTGACAAGGTCCCTCAGCAAAAGCTCTTAAAGTAAACAGTCATGGAATGAGGAAAGATCCTCTCTCATGGGAAAATAAATGGTAGAAATAAATCATCAGTTTTTAAAATGGAAAGAGGTAATTATCATCGTAGGATCTATGAGACCCATTTGTCAATTATTGTAAAAAGAGGTAAAGAGTGAGGTGGCAGAGTTAGAAAATATGAGATTACTCAATATAGTTAGCTTCAATGAGTTACAAAGCGATCTCACAAAACTGCAAAATGGCACATGAAATGCAATGTTGATAAATACAGAGTAATGCACATTGGAAAATATAATCCCAATTATACATATAACATGGAGGGCTGGCTTTCCTTGGGCGGGGTGCCCTGCAGAGAGGGGGCAGAGCCCTGCTGCTTGGGTAGTAGCTTCCCCGTTCTGCTCCTGGCCCGGCCCCGTGGGCAGGGGTCAGGAAGTAACATTGGCCAAACTTTTTCAACTAAGCGTTTTTTTTTTTCATTGGAAAATGCTGAGTTATTATAGACGTTGCATGGGAACAGACCAGTTTCAGTTACATTTGGCCTGGAAAGGTTTCGGGGGTCAGGGAGGGGTTTCTCATCCCACACCCATTGGGGCCTCCCTCCCACCCTGCTTCCTTTCCAGGTGTGGGTCCTGCAGCGAGCCACCTGGGGGGTTCTGGGGGCCTCTATAGCCCAATGGTTAGGAAACTCTTCAGGGGTGTGGGAGAGCCAGCATCACCTCTTCTCTAGCCATCAGTTGTTCTCAAAGCACTTTACAAAGTATCTCTCTCCATGGGGCAGATGGGGAAACTGAGGCACGGGAGATGGGGGGGGGGATGACTTGTGTAGCTCACTCACATCCCCTGTGTCCTAGTGCAGGGCTCTCACTGGGCCTCAGGACACAGTTTAGGGCTGCTGACACAGGAGCCCTGCCCAGTTAGGCTGCTTGTTTTTTGTGGCTCCTGGCTCAGTGTTTCTATGGCAGTGGGAACTGGGCCGTTCTCCAGTGTTAGTCCAAGTCTAGCCTTGCGGAACGAGGCTGTGAGTTTGGCAGGTTTGAAATCGCACCCTGTAGTCCAGTAAGAGCCCTGGACTAGGACATAGGAGATGTGGGTGAGCCTGCGCAAGTTACTTCCCTGCGCTCTGTTCCTCAGTTTCCCCTTCTGCTCCATCGAAATAGAAATCTCCTTCTACTGGTGCAATTTCTGCTTCCTGGGCATGCCCACCACACGGTCCTGCTTCATGCATTGACAACTGAAGTTGGCAGAGACGTGTCATTGTGCTTGATGGTTCATTTTTACATGTGGCTTCTATAGTGCCAGGGATTGGTCCTTTGCTCACTGCCTTGAAAGCATTGCTGCATGCTGTTAGACAGTGGACGTGTTTCGCCCCAGAGGAGGCTACATTTCCATGCAAAGTGCCTACTAGAGCGATAACTAGAATGGCATGTGTATCCCTGGAACTCCTGGAGGTGGGACGCCCTGCCAGTAGCCTGCTATGGGATCACCTCTCTCCCTGGCCGCTTCCCCTTTGGATTTCCTGCAGGAGAAAGAGATTAGTCCTTGGCATTGCAAACAAAATGCCTTTGGCCAGTGCAGGCTTGTTAGGGAAGGTAACAAGTGACTCAGGGACTTTTTGGTGTAGAACATCTACCCACTCGGCAGGTGTGTAGCTGAATTCTGGGAGGACCCGGTGCTGGAACCATCGCATCAGCCGGGTCCTGCCTTCTGTAAAACACAAAAGCTGCTTCCTGGACCTCTCACTCTTTCACGGGGACTTTCTGTGGGAGCTGCCAACCTGGTCCGCAATGTTCCCTCTAATTGTTTCCATCCACGTGTGGAATAATTTTTGTTTCGTGCACTGAGGCATGTGCTGATGTGCGCCACCAACAGAAACACATGCTGCCGGTTGTGGGAGGCTGTGGGTGCTCTGCTAATCAGCTGGGCAACATTGTGCCTCTCCTGGGCAGCCGCCCAAGCACTCAGCTTACAGGAAACACTGCTAGTCAGCATAGGCGACTGGTACCTGCGGGGAGAGGGAGTGCAGGGAGGGCCACCGAGAGGAACAGAGAGGGGCCACGAGGAGGCAATTCAGATTTTTGGTGGGGCAAAGAGGGGTGATGCACCTCCTGGCGGCTCATGGTAGCACTCTCTTCTGGTCAGGAAGCTTCCATCCACGTGTTTTTTCCACGGAAAATGCACTTTCCGCCAAAATTTTAATGGAATTTTACCAAATTTTTATGGAAATTTTACCAAATTTTTATGGAATTTTACCAAATGTTACCCCCGACAATTGATTTTTTTTTTCCCCACTGGGGAAAACCTAAAGAAAATATTTCGGCCTATGGCACTTTGTGATTAATCTGTATCTGCCAGAGCGGTAATGGGGCCTCATGCCTTCATTCTCCTCTGCGGGCGTGGGTGGACTACATCTCCCATGAGGCTCTGCGGCAGTTGAGCTATGCCACCGGGCAGCGTGGATCTGAAACGTTTCGTGCTGAACTTTCTGGGGAACTTTCCATTTAGCTTTTCATCCTGCTTCAGGACACAATAGTGGGGTTTCCCATAGGCCAGGCTGTCTGGCCCTCTGGCCTGACACGATGATTTACACACGCCAGGGCTGTTTTGACTCTGGCACGGTGTTTACCACTGGGCCTATCGGTTGTGCTGCTAGAGAGACGTAGATTGTGATTCAAGACGGGCTTGAAATCAAACCCATGCTTGTCTGACAGAAATCAGTGGAATTTAAGCACTGACCTAAATTGAATCATGCTGGGTCGCCAAACCCGAAACTTTAAAAATCACTGGAACAGCATTAAGACTGGTTTAAAAAAAATCTTGAGATTTTGACCAAGTTATCCTTTTCAGGTCACGTTTTCCAGCTTTTCTCTGCAACCGGGAGGGCTAGAAATATATTGCAAAAAACGAGTATTCCTGTGGCACCTTAGGGTATGTCTACACTACCCCCCCTAGTTCGAAGTAGGGGGGGTAATGTAGTCATACGGAGTTGCAAATGAAGCCCGGGATTTGAATTTCCCGGGCTTCATTTGCATAAAGCCGGCCGGCACCATTTTTAAATGCCGGCTAGGTCGGACCCCCGTGCCGCGCGGCTACACGCGGCACGGACTAGCTAGTTCGGATTAGGCTTCCTAATCCGAACTAGCTGTACACCTCGTTCCACACCAGCACCTGGGGGCACCAGGCAAGTAGATTTTGTGTGCTCCAGCCTCACAGGGAAGTGGCAGGGGGGCTGGAGAGCCAGCATAGGCTCCCCAACACTGGGTGGGGAGCCCTGAGCCTCAGGGGCCAGATCCAGGCAAGCTGGAGGCCACATATGGCCCCCGGGCCTTTGGTTCCCCTCCCCTGGCTTATTGGAATGACAAGTTACGCAAGTGTTGTCCCTGCACGAGGAAAAAGGCCAGCATCCCCGCAGAGCTGTATGCACAAGCATACCCGGTTTCTTGTGAGTTACGTCCCCAGCTACTGGGCACAGAGACTCGAGCGCCTTCCGTTCTGCCGGGCTGTCCTACACAATATTGCCTAGCGGGCCAGAAATCCCTGCAGGTGGCCGTCAGAAATGCCCATCTCAACGCAGGGCTCCTCTGCATGAGCTGGTCGCGTGGGAGGTGGCAAGTCACTTTCCCTGGAGTTTCCCAGGGAGGTGGTGACACTCTCCTGTGGCTTTCCTGCAGGGCCCCTTTCCCCGTAACCGAAGCCAGAGCAGCTGTGGCAGGCCCGGAACATGACCTCCACCCCCGACTACGATCACTTGGAGATACAGCAGCAGTACAGCCGGATTAACGCGCGCTGGGAGGCCTCCGACGATGAGCTGGACAACGACAACAGCTCTGCCAGGCTCTTCGAGAGATCCCGGATCAAAGCTCTGGCAGGTACCATGCTTAACCCTTTGGGGCGCTCGGTAGCGGCCTCTCCCCTCTGGCCCGCGGGGCCTCCTGGGTGGAACCCGTCTGGGCCTCTTCCCTCCTGAACCTTTGGGTTCCCCGATTCAGGAAGACACCTAAGCACAGGCTTAAATTTGGGCTGTGCCGTTAAAAACCGGGCAGGTGCTTGGAGAAAGGGTGGCGTGCTGAGCTGGGGCCCCAGCGAACACAGCGGAGTGCGGTAGACCATCCCCACCGTAGGGACTTTGGGGGAATCAGGGTTTCCCTTGGGTCGAAGAATTTCGGGGGCTCCTTCCATTCATGGATGGTCAGTCCCTGGGGGGGACGTGTAGCCGTGTATCTCTGTAAGCACAAAGGCTCAGAGAGTGTGCCTGGTCTCTGAGGCTGAGGGGAATAACGGGGACATAGATGCCAGCTCTGCGGGTGCTCCACAGACGTCGATGCCAGCTCTGCTGCTGCTCCAAAAGCCAAGACTGGGTGTTCAGACACAATGCTGATCCCGAGGGGAGGGCACAGGGTAGGGTAGGAAGAGGGGGGTCTCAGGGAAGAGGCTGGGTAAGGGCGGGGCCTGTGAGGAAGGGGCGGAGTAAGGGCGGGGCCTCAAAGAGGAATGGGTGTGGAACTCACCCGATAAAATACACGTCAAGGCCTGAGGCCTCAGACATAGCAGCAGCCAGACACAGAACTGTTCAGAGTGGTGGGCCCAGGTCGGGGCTGGCTGACTGGGACTGGGACGGAGACAGAGCACCAGACAAGCCAAAACCCTGCAAGGTTCTTCTGTCCTTGCTGGGCCTCATACTGATGAATCCTAGAATCCTAGAACACTACAACTGGAAGGGACCATGAGAGATCGAGTCCAGTCCCCTCCCCTCACGGCAGGACCCAGCACCATCCCCGACAGGTGTCTGTCCAACCTGCTCTTCAATATCTCCAGAGATGGAGATTCCACAACCTCCCTGGGCCATTTATTCCAGTGTTTCACCACCCTGACAGTTAGGAACTTTTTCCTAATGTCCAACCTAACCCTCCCTTGCTGCAGTTTAAGCCCCTTGTTTCTTGTCCTATCCTCTGCGGCCAAAGAGAACAATTTTTCTCCTGCCTCCTTGCAACACCCTTTTAGGTACTTGAAAACGGCTCTCATGTCCCCCCTCAGTCTTCTCCTTTCCAAACTAAACAAGCCCAATTCTTTCAGTCTTCCCTCATAGTTCCTGTTTTCTAGATCTTTCATCATTTTTGTTGCTCTTCTCTGGACTCTCTTCAGTTTCTTGAAATGCGGTGCCCAGAACTGGACACGATACTCCAGCTGAGGCCTACCCAGCGCAGAGTAGAGCGGAAGAAGGACTTCTCCTGTCTTGCTCACAACCCCCGTTAATGCCTCCCAGAGTCGTGTTTGCTTTGAAGACTCAGCTGGCTCTCCCCTTCCCTGCAGGCAAAGTGCTTCCATCTAGGCCCCCTTCCCAATATCTCCCCCGCCCTTCGGCCACCCTCTGCTTCTTCCTCCTTGCTCTCTCTGCCCTCCAGCCATTAGCCCGCCTGCCTGCTGCCCCTGGCAGACCCAACAGGAAATGGGAGTCAGGGGTAAAGCCGGTGAGAAACGACAGGGGGGTTGTTCCTCCCCTTCCTCCCCAACCTTTTATCAGATACTTTCATTTTACTGCATGGGGCCAAGTGGAGGAGGGGAAAACGCTTCCCCAAGCAGCATTTTTTTAGCAAGGGAGAGTGGAGTGAGCCGCCAACGAAGGCTGCCTGCGTCTTTCAGCCCGTGAGTGCAGCAGCCCACGGAGCCGCCTCGGGCCCTGTGCTAATTGAAATAGTAATGGAAGGAAAAGCAGGCGGCCTCACTGTGCTGCGATTACTCACCCCCTATCCCGGCTTTGTGATGCAGCCTCTGGCCGCTCCTTTGTCCGGAGGAGCAATGCGTTCACTGAAGCTGGAAAGAGCGCAGCCAGCTGCAAAGGCGAAATGCCCTTCCCCCCCCCCCGACTGGCACACCCCAGAGCTGGGCGCAATGCAACCGCAGAAGGGTGTATGGAGAAGAAGGGGGATAGAGACACTGCCGCGCACTCGTCGTGGGTTCTAGCTGACTAAGTTGCAGCCCCAGTGGAAGAGAAACTGTAGCCAGTGCAAGAAGGACGCTGGGCCCAAGGGGAGGGGGGCAGAAAATATTCTTCTTATTCTGAAACAAAAAACAGGACAATGTAGCACTTTAAAGACTAACAAGATGGTTTATTAGGTGATGAGCTTTCGTGGGCCAGACCCACTTCCTCAGATCAAATAGTGGAAGAAAATAGTCACAACTATATATACCAAAGGATACAGTTAAAAACACCAATTCTGGTTTGTCTTCAGGACCTATACATCTTTTGCCTTTCACTTGTGTTACATTGCCACCCACAGGCCATAGGCAGCATTACAGCCCCGGTGCACTGGGCACTCTACAAGCACCTGGCTGGTGGAAATGTGTCTGCAGAGAAATCCGTTTTTGATGGAAAGCTGTTTTGGGCAAAAGAACTTGTTGTAGCAAAAAGTTCTGCTTCCTAAGGGAAGTGTTGATTTTTCCTCAAAAAACTGAATGTCCCCAAAATTGGGGATGTGAACAGGTAACTGGTTACCTGGTAAGCATCACCCTTTATACCAGGTAATGCTTAACCCGTTACCTGGGAGCAGCCCTCTGTGCCTGCATGGGCTGGGAGTGGGCAGGCTTGCATGGGGGGGAGGCGGCAGCTCCACCGCTGCTGCTGCTTCTGCTCCCTCCTCCATGCAAGGTTGCTGACTCCTGAGCCAGCAGCCCATGGGGCTGGAGCAGCTCTTGCCCACGGCACAGGGGCTGCCCCAGCCGGATTGTGGCGGGAGCAGAGGGGGCTGCTCTGGAACGGCCCCCCCACCGATCCCCATTTAATCAGTTTACCAGTTAAACTTAATGTTTAACCAGTTAACTAATGAAACAGGATTTTACATCCCTAATTTCAATTCATAACAGTTGTAGTTCGGGGTGCGTCATATCCCCATTTTCCTTTGTGGGCTGCGCTTCCAGCTGGACTACATCTCCCACAATGCACCATGGCCAGGGACTCCCATGATGCACTACCTTCATTCCACGAGAGGGTGCATCTTGGGAGATGTAGTCTGAGCAGGTAGCCTGGCCTCATTTCCCATGATGCACTACCTTCATTCCACAAGAGGAGGGGACCATGGTGCATCTTGGGAGATGTAGTCTGAGCAGGTAGCCTGGCCTACCAACAAGAATGGGAGGATGGGGCACTTGAATGACTGCTCCCTGCAGACGGCGTGGCTGCCTTGCTAAATGGAAGGGTTTCGGTTTTCAGCCAGCATGTTCTGGTATTTGAATTCCTCCAGAAAAATAAAAAATGTGCTTGGTCGTGTTAAGGAGTGATCGATCACTGCCTGTAAGTAATGAAACCACAAACCAAAGCTTCGCTAGCTGGACAAATGCAGACAGGAATGAAGGTGCGACTGTTTAATGGTGAAGGTAATTAAGCAGTGCACCAATTTGCCAAGGCTCACGGTGGCTTCTCCATCACCAGCAATTTTTAAGTCCAGTTTGGCTGTTTGGCTACAAGTTTTGCTCTCGGGATTATTTTGGGGCAGTTCTCTGGGCCTGTGTCACACAGGGGGTCAGACCAGATGGCCTCGGGACCTAGGACGTGTGGTGGGCCCTGGCTCAGGGAAGCATGAGCGCTGTGGAGCAGGGCCGACAAGCTAAGTGCTTGCCTGTGGGCTCTCCTGAACGGGAACGTGGGCCTGGCCCGGGGCCCAGCTCCATGGTGCTTGGGGCAGTTGTTTCTCTGCTCCCTGTCCCAGAATGCCAGGGCGGGACTCATCAGCGGGGCGCCGGGCCTCTCTCCCCTTGCAGATGAGCGGGAAGCCGTGCAGAAGAAAACCTTCACCAAGTGGGTGAACTCCCACCTCGCCCGCGTGACCTGCCGCATTTCCGACCTGTACATGGACCTCCGGGACGGGCGGATGCTGATCAAGCTCCTGGAAGTGCTTTCGGGAGAGCCCCTGGTGAGTTCCCCGCCGCCAGGCTGCGTGGCGCCAGCTGCCGGTGCCCCTCCGAGCCTTTCCTCTGCTGTCGGGAGCAGCAGCGTGGAAACGTGGCCATCTCAGGGGGTGCAGCGGGCGGGGCTGGTCTGGAAACGCTTTGCTATGAAGGACTTAGCTGTCTTGGTGGGACAAAAAGATTTGAAACCCTTGCAGGGCTGCATGGGAGTTGCAGGCTGGCTGGCTGCCTTGTGCCGCCGGCAGGACTTCATCCCCCAGGATGCACCTTTCGGGGTGGAGAGGCAGTGCATCATGAGAGCCCCTCCCGTGGGAATCTAGGCCCTGCAGCTCCATTAAGGGTGGAGTGTGTGGTGGGCTGCAGGGGTCCCCCACAGGGGTCCCCCACCAGGGGGAACATGGACAAATGTCTGGCCCACAGAAACCACCATCAAGCTGGCCCCTTGCAGGCAGAGCTCAGAAGGAGCAGGGGGCCAGCACATGCCCAGCTGGTAGCTGGTAGCCTGCATGTGAACATGAGGCTCTCTCGCACACCTGTTGCAGCTACCACAAACAAGGGAACCTCCCTGAGCTGCACTTGCCCTTGCCCCAGCTCAAGGAGCCTACTTGAGAGGGGGTACTCTAGTCCACCACCCTGTAGCCAGCTCCATCCCTGGGGCACCGTGCATGGGCTGTGCTGCTGCTCCTAGGATGGGTGAGTGGGGAGAGGACTCGAACCCACCACCCTGTGCTCCCCAGGCAAATTCCCTATCCCTAAGCCACTCCAGAACCTTCCCCCCCCCACCCC